CAGATACACATCAGAGCTGGGTGGGTCACGGAACACCCCCCCCATCCCTTCTCCGAAAGGTCCTGTTTTAGAAGTCATAGGTAAGCATGGCTAACCACGTCATCCCTCTGCCCTCACTGCATTCCCCCCTTCTCTGTCGGATCAGTACTAGCTAAGCAGCTGTGCTTGTAATCAGGGAGAAAGCCCCGCTTGCCGCTCCTTCTGAGCTGGGATTTCTCTCTTCGTTCTCCCTGTGGGCTTCAGTTTCTCTTTCAGGGCTGGGTTCCGGGGACCCACTCTCCTCCTCCTCCTCTTCCTCCCCTCGCTTCCAGTGTCCGGACCCCAAATCTCAGAGAGGCTGTTTCTCTGCTGCTTACCACTCCGCCATCTTCCCGGAAGTCAATCTTAAGATTCATTTCAACCCATTTTGAATATGTTAATTATGTATCATTCAGCGACATTTGCTAGATATCCAACTTCAATTGAAACTGCCAGTTTTAAAGGTATGACACAATCCTTATATATATTATTTCAGAAAAAGTCTATTATATCTGCAGTCCCTGAGAGTGTCTGTCAGGTAATAGGCCTGCAAGTATTCTTTGATTGAATATTTTGAATGTTACGCAGTTGCAGAGGTTTTTGATGGGTAGACATTTTCTCAGTACAGTGTAATTTAATTTGTAGGTGATAGCTGAATTTTGAATGAATGTTTAGCAGTAGAAATTCAGTACTTATACATTATTAAAATGAAAATAAAAATGTAGTAAGTTGTTTTTTTATAAGCACCTAAGGGATCATATATAAAACACCAAGGGAATAGCTGTTGAAGAAACCCTAATTACTGACAGTTGTTTACCAAATAGATACCTTATATGGTGTTTCTAGATGGCAGACACTAACTTGAATTATTTTTGAACAATAATGCATGTAGGCATTTATGTTCTATCATTATAATATGATAATATATCCCCCTTTTAGAAAATGGCTATGTTCCTGCAGTGCTTAATAGTCATGAGTATACTTGTAGTCTTGTTTTTCTTATTGAAGTAAAGTGGTTATGAGCGTCAAATGTCTTCTTTGAGCTTCCTTACTGTATGCAAATCAAAGAATGTAACGGACAAGAAGAAGTTATATCATGGGAGAATAAGAACTAGATGCCCTGTGTCACACTCTTGGCTGGGATTTATACAAAAGTAACTTTAGTACTCCTTTGTAGCGTAGATTTCATACAAAGGTGATTTTGAGCCGAAATAAATGTTGGCAGGAGAAGGAAATGTGTGTGATATTTACTGGTACATCAATATGTAGAATAATCACAGACCACAGCAAGTGCAAAAAAATTCAGCGCAATTTATGCATAGCATTCAGTGGGAATTAGTTCACTGGTAAGAAAACAAAGGAGCATATGGCTAATTTATACGGCTTCCTCAAAGCACACCCTTATGAAATACGGCACGAGGAAAGGAAAGGTTAGAAAGCAAAGAACCTGGGGCAGTATGGAATAATCAGACTGCTGGAGATAAAAAAGTGAAGATTAAGTAATTTGGGGATTAATTTTGCTCTTGTTTCTAAAATGGATAGGAAGGGGAGAAAAGGGACTTGTATTTAAATTTATAAGAGTATTTAGATGTGCTGTCTCATTTTTTATTTGAACATGAGTCCTATTTAGCTGTCAGTTTCCTCAGTACTGTATATAAGAAAAATAAGACGCAGGAAGCTGGATAAGTGAGTAAGTCACACTATTAGCTTGTAAGAACAGGTATTTGAATCCAAATCTGCATCGCTTCCAACTGCATGCTGTTCCCACAAAACTATGACTCTTCTCCAGTAAGATATATCCTCTCTACCTGTAGCTATGTTTGTTAGGGTAGCCCATGAAGAGGTGTCAATAATTTTTTGTTCTAATGTCCCTGCAAAAGATGTTTCTGTATTCATCTGTAATCCTCTTGTTAGTGGCTTAACTTTACCTTAGTTTGCTTTTTTCATTGTCTTTGGATTACTTATGTCCATATTTTAACAGTTTGAGGACACTGTTTTTTTCTTTTGTCTTTTGGAGACAGGGTCTCCCTATGTAGTTCAGGCTGGCCTTGAGCTCACGTTGTAGCCCAGGATAGTCTTGAACTCCCAATGATCTTCCTGTCTCAGCCACCTGAGAGCTGGGATTACAGGCATGCGCCACCACCCCTGGCTGAAACTGGTTTGCCGAGGTCAAATGAATGCATTTAGTTACATGGGAGACACACTGATACGCTGTGACGTAAAAGCAGGCAGGGTAACTCCAGTGTACACGCTCAGCCACTGTGCCAAAGTGCCAGTC